ATATTGTTGGGAGCAACATCGAGCAGCGCAGATTGTTCGGACTCGTCATCAATGCCTTTCAAAAATCCCACAGCATCAACGGCAGCCTCGTCATTATAGTTTATTCAACCAAAATCTAGTCCGTCCATTGAAGTAATTGCAAGTGAAGAAGAATATTATAAGGGAAATACGCCCGTAATAAATTTGTGACGCGTACTCTTTTAGCCAATCAAATTTGCTATTTTGAGATTTTGTGTTGATTTTTTTAACAGATTTTGGTGATGTGAACACTTATTATTTTTGCAAATGCTCGATATTGACAAGAAAATAAAACTCCCCAGTAACCCGATTTTCGAATACTTCAATAATAGTCCACCTCGATTATGGGATTATCAATCCTTTAAAGAACACAAAACAGTTCAGGAATCGAATCCACCAAGAAACAAAAGAATAAGAGCAAGTATTTCATAGTTTCAAGTTTGGCTGAAGAAGCAGATGTAACAAAACCTTACATTTACCATGATTACATCCACTAGTTTAAGCCAACCATTGCTTTTAAAAACTATTACGAATATTGTCACTGTATGAATATGCTTTTATACGGATTATAGGATTAAAAACAAAAAACTTTTATGAAATTATCTCTAAGCTTCTTGTATTCGCCCTAAATAAACATTTCTTTTGATCCTATTGAAACAAGCAGCCCGCCTCGAATCATCGAGGAGTATAGTGAGGCAAAAGACCGTCAAGGCTGGCTAAAATTTACTGGGACAGAAAAATTGGTATGAAGTAGTCTGAAATCTGCCAGAGAAAGAGAGATGGCTATAGGGTGGTTGATGTAACAGAGATTAAAAACGAGAGTTGGCATGCGAAGCAAACATTTCCTGTAATTTATCAGTGGTGTTATGGATACACTTGATGAGCATGAAATGTCAGGCTGTCGTCTCATCCTGAATAATGCCACTATATACATGTAAGGTTTTTGTTGTTCAAAATCAATCAAAAGTCGCAAACACTTGCCCTTTCTGAACCCAAATAAATTGTTTAGGCCAAAAGTTAAGGCTGGAGTAAAGAGAGACTGCTTCGCTGCAGCTGATAATATCATTGAATCGGCAATTGATCTTTTATTTTCACCAATTCTGCTTGACCTGCCTCAACTGACAATACACTTAAACAGGAACCGACGAATGAAATTTTCACGAGCCGACATTTACTTTTTTTGTAATCGACAGTATTTGCCAGCCTGACTGTATCTTTTGTTTATATTCGCTCCTGAAGGCGATGGCTGGTATAGCTATAGAGCAGTCGTTGAAATGATGGAGAAGAACGACAACAGGTTTATCAAAGTGTATACCAAGAAAACTTCTAGTTTTTTTTTTTTTTTTTTTCACATTTGCCTCTACGCGACAATTCAAATACCATTGGTTGACTATGCCAACTGCCTTGCCGTGATATTTGAGCGTTGAAATGAGAGCTTTGTCTTTATAACGAGTCAAATATCTGAGCATTATTGACCTACTACAGCCAGAAAAGAGAAGGCTATGTCAACATCCCAACGGTGCATAATCTGGTAGAGTTGTTTAGGATCACACTAATTAAAGGGTTGATGAAAGCTGAAAGAGACTATTTGGCAACAAATACCATGCTTTTATTGACAAGTCTAATACTAAGCGCATTATGAGTCATAGCGCCAACAAATTAGATTATTCCTATAAATCTTCATAATATAAATCTTCATAATCCCTCTCATCATCTATTGGATCTATTTTGACGAAAACTTTGATCAAAGGGTTCTCGTTTACTGTTTCGGTCCATTTCCTGATTGCTTCATTTTCGCGTTGTATGTCTACCAAATACATTGTTTTATCTGACAAATGATCGTCAATTACTAATAGCGCCTTTCTACCAAACACATCTATTAAACTACTGTAATGGCTTTGAGAAGACCAAGCATTCGAAGGTGCAGTATCAA